AGGCCTCTCTCATCTTTTTAAGTGGGAGAACTTGCACTATTGGTGGCTGACTAAATACTTTTTTGCCCCACTGTATATATATCATAATTTATCCATTAAACAATCAAGGGGACATCACATATCCCTGCTCAGAAGCGAATACTTTCCTTAGCATTCTATTTATTCTCACACATTTTTGTATTCACTCTTGCATTCATTCCTCCCCTTTGTATGTGGGAACAATAAAGGGATCCTTCCAATTGTCAGGCACAGGTGAGTCTTCACACCTGTGTTAAACAAATCTTACATCCATCTTCTAATGTTTCTCCAGTTACAAAATCTACACTTGCAGTTTTCCATTTTTTGATGTTTTCATAAGATTTGTTAAGTTCCTTTTCCATCAATATTTTCTGGGACACTAACAATTACAGCATTCATTTCAATTTTACTCTTCAACATCCTGGAACAAATGACACATCCAGAAAGGGCCTGGAAAGAATACTGAGATAGTCCAAGGAAGGCAAAAAAGTCTGGAGCACAAGTGGTATTTTCATCCATACTTCCAAATAACAGTGATGGCCCAAGAAAGGAATAGAAGATTCCGCAGGTAAACACTTACTCAAGGGATGTCATCAAGAAAACGTGGATTCCTGGACCATGGCCTACATTACCTAAAGGAAGGGCTTCTGGCGTGAGATGGGCTGCACCTTACAAAGACTGGGAAGAACATGTTTGGAAGACACATCATTCAGGTAACCTGGCTAAATCCTATGAAGAATAGTTAAAAGAACTGGGTACGTTTAGCCTAAAGGAGACAGCTAATGGGAGTCATGATAGCATTCTTACAGTGCTTGAAGGTCTATCAGAGGGAAGAGGGTGTGGATTTCTTCTTCACAATCCCTGAGGGTAGGACAGGAGCCAGTTGGTAGAAGCTCTACAGAGGAGATTCACATTCAAAATAAGGAGGAATTCCCTGACTGTTAAAAATTGGAACAGAGTGCTTCCTGGAGTCATGGACACTCCATCACTAAAGGTTTCCAAGCAAAGGTTGGGCAGTGATTTGTCTGCAGTGATATGAAGATTCCTGCCTTGGGTAGTGGGTTGGATTAGACGATTTCAGAAGTCCCTTCCAACCTGATCATTCTATGAAATTGCCTGTTCCAGAAGCCTCTAAGTGGTGATACCCTGGTCCCACCTCCTATTTTGTACAACAGTTTGGTAGTTCTATTTCTCAGGGAATGCTCTCTAAACCAAGTATGAGAGAGAGACAGGATTCTCAGACCCTCTACGGCTATTCTGGCTATTAAAAAGCTAAAAAATACAAAAGATGGAACTTCTGACTATATAGCATACAGGATTATGGCTTTGAGGGAGATAAACCTATGTCATAGGAGGTAATATCACATTTTATTAGAAAAAAGAAAATATAAATGATA